TTTAGGATTTTCTTTGGAATTTTTAGGGGGATTTGGAGAAGATTTTTGGGATTTTTAGGGAATTTTGGGAATTTTTAGGATTTTTTTTGGAATTTTTAGGGGGTTTTGGAGAAGATTTTTTGGATTTTTAGGCAATTTTTAGGGGGATTTGGAGAAGATTTTTGGGATTTTAGGGAATTCTGGGAATTTTAATGAATTTTTAGGGAATTTTTAGGGGCGATTTGAAGAGATTTTTTTTGGATTTTAGGGAATTTTGGGAATTTTTAGGATTTTCTTTGGAATTTTTAGGGGGATTTGGAGAAGATTTTTGGGATTTTTAGGGAATTTTGGGAATTTTTAGGATTTTTTTTGGAATTTTTAGGGGGTTTTGGAGAAGATTTTTTGGATTTTTAGGCAATTTTTAGGGGGATTTGGAGAAGATTTTTGGGATTTTAGGGAATTTTGGGAATTTTTAGGAATTTTTTTTAGAATTTTTTAGGGGGTTTTGGAGAAGATTTTTGGGATTTTTAGGCAATTCTGGGAATTTTTAGAATTTTTTTTGGAATTTTTAGGGGGATTTGGAGAAGATTTTTGGGATTTTTAGGCAAGTTTTAGGGGGATTTGGAGAGAATTTTTGGGAATTTTTTTGGAATTTTGGGAATTTTTAGGATTTTTTTTGGAATTTTTAGGGGGGATTTGGAGAGAATTTTTGGGATTTTAGGGAATTTTGGGAATTTTTGGGATTTTTTTTGGAATTTTTAGGGGGATTTTTTTGGGAATTTTGGGGATTTTAGGGAATTTTGGGAGGTTTTGGGGGGATTTGGAGAAGATTTTTGGGATTTTAGGGAATTTTGGGAATTTTTAGGAATTTTTTTTGGAATTTTTTAGGGGGATTTGGAGAAGATTTTTGGGATTTTTAGGCAATTTTTAGGGGGATTTTTAGGGAATTTTGGGGATTTTAGGGAATTTTGGGAATTTTTATGAATTTTTAGGGAATTTTTAGGGGGATTTGGAGAGATTTTGGGATTTTAGGGAATTTTGGGAATTTTTAGGATTTTTTAGGGAATTTTTAGGAGGGATTTGGAGAGACTTTTTTGGGATTTTTAGGCAATTTTTAGGGGGATTTTTTTGGGAATTTTGGGGATTTTAGGGAATTTTGGGAGGTTTTTGGGGGATTTGGAGAAGATTTTTGGGATTTTAGGGAATTTTGGGAATTTTTAGGATTTTTTTTTAATTTTTAGGGGATTTGGAGAAGATTTTTGGGATTTTTAGGCAATTTTTGGGGGGATTTTTTTGGGGATTTTGGGGAGTTTAGGGAGTTTTGGGGGGTTTTGGGGAGATCTGGAGAAGATTTTTGGGATTTTTAGGAAATTTG